CGCTCTTCCTTAAAAAATGAGGTTTACACAGTTTTTCAAAAAAAAGGGGGAAGGGCCGAAAAAATGCATCCAGACTTTCACTTTTGAAAGACCCACTTTCGAAAGTGAGATTGGAAGAAGATATGCAAATTCTCACAGAATTTGCATATCCTTTCAAAAATACAGCGTAGTCTAGATGTAACTAAAGGAGATGAAATCTATGTTTCTATTTACGAGAGACGGATGGGTGAGATGGACATGTTTGGAGGCAAATCCATCCAGTCTGCCTACCTCGGAGGCCTAAATGACCCAGGCTCAGGCAGAAAATATGATTTGTGAAATGCCATACTTGAGTCAGTGGTGCAGTTTTTGGAAGGCAGTTACTGAATACCCCTAATGGACATTTATTGCCACCATTGATAGTCCTTTGGCATATAGGGCTACGTTTAGATTACATGGCTCCGTCAACAGAGCCATGTAAAATAGTTTACTTGGAATAGTCAAAGAAGTGGGGATTTAAATAATCCCCACTTTATTAAAATAAAAATGGCTGCCACACTGTGCCGACGATCAGCTGATATGGCACAGAGCGGCAGTCTAGACCGTCAGCACAGCGCAGTGGCCATTTTTATTTTAATGAAGCGGGGATTATTTAAATCCCTGCTTCTTTGACTATGCCGAGTAAACTATTTTACATGGCTCCGGCGACGGAGCCATGTAGTCTAAACGTAGCCTAGGTGAATAAAATGGCTCACCAGCACCTGTATTGTGTACTTGATCTCAGCCATCTGCAGACTAATTAACTCCTAGAAGCTTCCCTGGATCAAGAGATTTAATCAATGGATCCAGGAAAAGGAAAGTAAGATTGTGAAGCTGACCGTGGGAAAAAGATCAGATTTTCAAGGGCTTCCCATCCTCCTTTCCCCCACCTGCAAGTAAGGAGCCTCCCTCAGTGAGCTGAACAAACTTCCCATATGAAGTATGCTATGCAAACCCCCCTTTTTATTTACAGATCTGATGTTCTGTTTTTAATAAAACCAGGAGGGGGAAGTATTTTAAAAAATTTCCCCTCCGCCACCAAAAAAAGAGAGGAAAAATTATATTTAAAAAAAAAGGACGTGCATGGGAAGGAAGGAGTCAGTCCCCATGGCTGCTGCCACCAGAGCTAGAGCGTCAGAGCCTTTAGGAAGAGCAGCATGCCAGTTCCTACTGCCTACAGTAGGCATTTGAATTTGCCCGCACAATTGGAGAGGAGGTCTGCCATTTAGTGATTCCATTATTCAGCTTTCATGACAGAGTCATCATTTTGGAGGCCCATTCAGTAAGCAGTAGAGACCACAGAATTGCTGTTCCTAGAAATTCCAGTAGTCTGCAATGCTTGGCATATGCTGTATGGCCCTGTTGGAGGGGGAAGGGCCCTCCAAGGGCCTGGGCTTCTAAATAGCTTCAACACTTATTCCTCTGCCACTTAGGCCTGAGATTCCACCCTCACAAGTAACTGTTGGGTCACCATGGCAAGGTGCCCCCTTCACTGCCTCAGGGCTGATAAAATTGCATGGGATGCATGTGTCCAACATTGCCTCTGGCCATTAGCCCCAGGGCCCCAGAGAACCCACATCAACTTACCCTGCAATGCCTTTGCCAAATCCCAAAGCAGCTAACCATGCCCAGCAAAAACTGGTAGTAACGGAAGTTTCCTACTCTGTCCTTCAGATGTTACACTGTGATATAGCATGCTCCTGTGCTGAAGGTGCTTGTTTCAAAATATCTGCAAAAGAAACTTGAAAGGGGAAAAACCAAAAGCCCTGTAAATGAGCAGGTCAGCAATGATGCAGACCAGTGTTCCCTGTAAGCTAAGCACTTGGACGGCCACCCAGGAAAGATTCAAATGCCATCCAATGGATTAACAAGTGCCCACAGCACCATCATGCATTTCTACTCTTGGTGCCTCTCCGCACATGCGTCAGTGCACAAAACAAAATTTATTCTGCACATGGGTATAAAAAATTAGCGGGAACATCGATGCAGAACAAAGCAATATTCCTGATGAAATAAATTTGACATTCCCATCTGACGAAAGTCACTTTCAAGATTGCTCAGATGATAAAACCTCAATTGTAAATGCTTGGACAAATTACTCCTTGCCAGCCCATCTAATGCAATAGACCAAATGGCAATTTCTTTTTTTTCCCCCTTACAAACAACTGTCATTTTCCAGAATAAAAAATGCACCATGTTAAGATTTGCATGTCAAGTGACTTTGTGCACTCCTATCTTTCAAAATATGCATACTGCCACATTTGCAGAATCTTCAAGGACACAAACTCATTAAAAAAAAAAAATCAGCATGCTTAATAGGGATTGGAACACTGTGTTAACATCAATGTCTGTTCATGAGAAGGGCAAACATGGGGGGCTCGTCTACACTGGCCCCTTTTCTGGAAGGGGCATGTTAATTTCACCTATCATAGTAGGGAAATCCGCGGGGGATTTAAATATCCCCCGCGGCATTTAAATAAAAATGTCCGCCGCTTTTTTCCGGCTTTTAAAAAAGCCGGAAAAGAGCGTCTACACTGGCCCCGATCCTCCGGAAAAAGCGCCCTTTTCCGGAGGCTCTTATTCCTACTTCAAAGGGCACTTTTTCCGGATAAAGTAGGAATAAGAGCCTCCGGAAAAGGGCGCTTTTTCCGGAGGATCGGGGCCAGTGTAGACGCTCTTTTCCGGCTTTTTTAAAAGCCGGAAACAAGCGGCGGACATTTTTATTTAAATGCCGCGGGGGATATTTAAATCCCCCGCGGATTTCCCTACTACGATAGGTGAAATTAACATGCCCCTTCCGGAAAAGGGGCCAGTGTAGACGTAGCCGGGCAGTCATGTGGCAGCTCTACAGTTTGCAAAGGGGCACAGTATCAATGCACGTTTTGATAAACAAGCAACTGGAAATAGCAAGTAGTACTAATAATATGGCTTGATAATCAAAACTTCAGTTAGTTTAGGTCCCTTCCACAGCCACCATGTATTGCTGATGAGCCACAATTGTGGTGTTTCTTTGAACATAAGTAAGCTAATCATCAGACAGAATACAAACCTTCCCCCTCCCCCAAATATATCAGTGACATAAAAGAATCGAATACTTGATTGAAGAAGACAATCATAAAAGAATTACCACTAGGAGATACATAGTTAGACGCAAAGATGCTAAGTTTCTTTTATTATCAATATCATTTTTCTCCAGCTCATCATCCAATGAAGTGAGTTTTATCATGAGTTTTCGTGGGTATTTGTTAGTCTACAAGGGCACGCTTAGACAGCGGGGCTATTTCAGGATACCATCGGTATCCCAAAATAGCTATTCCGCGACTTTTACACGCACCCGCTATTCTGAAATAACGGGCACTCTGTTCCAGCATCCCTGTAACCCTCTTTCCACAAGCGTTAAGGGATGTCTCAAAACAGTGTATTATTTCAAAATCTGGCACCATGTAGACAGCACCAAATTTCAAAATACATTCAAAATAAGCTGTGCAATTTGCAACGTGTAAATTGTGTAGTTTATTCTGAGACAAGGGTGCTGTCTAAACACACCCTAAAGTGATGTAAGACTACTCATTTTATTACAGATGCAACCACTGATATGAACCATGTTGATTAAATGGCTATTTTGTGATGGATTATTAATATTGATCACATCAAAGAATGAGCAGATACAAAAAAATCTTTTTGCTAGCTTTTGGCTAATAAGGGAGGCAGATGCTACATCTTTGTGTGACCAGGCAGATGCTGCATCCTTGTTTGTACACCAAATACTTGTATAGTCAATCTGCACTTGCAGATGAAAACTCTCTGGAATCCTTCATCAAAGAAAATTGACCTATTCCACATCCTCTGGGTATATGAAAGCACACTGAATGAGCTCAGATCTGAAGAAAGTATGAGGAAATTGCAAAGGCATCTCAGAACAGGTGGGAAGCAGTGGGTTTTGAAAATGCAAACTATCCAAGCCACAAGAAGAAACATGTACTGAGTATGAATGAATTTTCAAACAATTCTGTTTTAAATGCAAGAGAATAACCATCAAAAGAAATATTTCAAGGTCTTAAACTGGGAAACTAAAGGGTATAAGAGATTTCAAGAGGTAGCTATTCTATTCTCTTTCCTTCATTTCAGGCAACTTCAAAATAGAAAGCTGACTTTTCTAAAGGAGAAACTTCTTAACTCATGGGTAAATGTTCATTTCTCTTTCACAAGATTATATCTTCCTATATGTATAAGTAACAAGGGACACAGAAGTGTACATTGCATCACTTGGATTCCAGAGTTATTTTAGTGTCACATTCTCTTGATGATTTACTACAAATGGAAATGTGTTGATTTTTTCCTCAGCATACCAATTGGAATAGCAAGAGCTGAACACAAATTGAACATATTAAGAATCTCAGATATTCCATGTGTTCAATACTGTAACAGCCACCAAGAGTGACCTTGCTCCCCTTGTAAATGAGAAAAACAAGACAACAAGAGTGGAGCTGGATAGCATCACAGAACAATTTGAAGAGGAAGAGTGTCGCTATGGTATAATGTTCTAATAATTGGAAATACACAAGCAAACACCAGTTGGATGAGATCCTACTTGTGGTTGTGCCTGTGATGATTTATTTAACTTTACATCTTTAAAAAAGCCTCAGTGATGTGAGTTTTGTACCAATGCTACAGATTTACTGACTATACTCTGACTTTTAAATTTGCCTGGGAGAAAAGTTGGACAACAGGAAGGAAATTTGCAGTACAAGTAACTACTATGAATCTATAAGAAACACTAGAAAAAGGCTGAACAAGCAATCTGAACATACAATGAATTTTACAATAAGGCACTGTTCAAGGTGTACAAGTGTTCAAAACTGACCACCATAGTGTTTTACTAGTAGCTATCTTATAATTTCTCCATTTGCAAAGGCTTTTGTGAAGCTTTTTACAACAATACTCAGACACACCTTATTCTGGAAACTTATTAACCACATGATACACATGTGACACTAAAAATCCCAGGGAGCCAGTGTAACTATAACAGTTCATGCTTATTGGTTAAGCATTTAAATGGATCACTTTAATATTCCTAGACCAAAGATAGGCACTCAGAATTTGGTAAGTAGTCAAGGGCTGCATTTTTCTATTACATTAATGAAGGAGGTGCATGATCTGGGACAAAAGTTAGGTACAGGAGGGAGCTCTGGGGTGCAGGATGGGATAGAGGGTCTTGGAGGAGAATGTGACCCAGGGCAGGAGATCAGAGTGCAGAGGGCTTGGGCTCTGACCTGGAGCAGGGAGTTGGGCTGTGGGAGGGGGTGGAGTGCTAGGTGCAGACTGTGGCCAGGAGCATCTCACCCTAGAGGTGTCTCTTGGCCAACAGCCCAGTGGGACTTTCAGGCAAGCTCCCTGCCTGCTGCAGGTACATACTGCTCAAAGCAGCCAGCTGCTGGGACCAATGTGTGTGTGTCTGCACAGTGTGCCCCTTGGAGCAGGTTGCCACGTGCTGCATGCGCCCACAAGCACAGCCCAGGCAGCTCCCATTGGCCAGTTTTTGTGCAGGATGCGCCCCCTCCTCCCCACAACTTCACCAAACGTCATTCTGCACAGACACACATACCTTAAAATGCACTAGGAAAGCAAGTACAAACTAACTGATCTCTTGAACGTTAACAATACAAGTTTTAGAATGAAGTAGAAAAATTTCAAAAAAGCACTTAATTGATTTAGAAGCCTAAATTACATTTTCAGAAGAGTATCCCTAAGTCACATAGCTGCTTATGCAGATCTTACTTCATATCTCAGTCACATGCAAGAAATATGAAGGAAGGAAGTAAATTAGGGAGTTAAAATAAAATCTCATTATAGCCAGATATCAAATGTACCCATACACATCTCACTTCATACACAATGACATCCCCACTGGGGCTTTAACCACAGGCTATCAGACTTTTGTTTGAAAAAAGTAAAGCTCCACCTTTTGAATTAAAGGATAATCTCCACAAGCCAAAATAGTGGGTGGGAGGGTTTCTGCCTTTTTTTTCCAGATTTCTAGGCACCAGGCAGACTATTTAATATGCACTAGTAGGTTGTGGACATGAGCAAACCTACCCTCAGAATTACTTCCCTTCATTAAATCTCAGCATACCAGACTCTAAGGTAAATCTCCATGTTTTATTCAATCTGGTGGAGAGCTGTACAGTCTCCAAGCTGCTAGTACAAAATAAAAGGAGTGAGAGAAATCACTTGTAAATTCCTCTTAATTCTGTTTACAAGCAAGCATTTGAAATTACATTGTTAGGTTTTCTCTTGCAGACATGGGGGGGGAGGGGGAGAGAGGAGAAAACATCTTTAAAGAAAAACAATTACATCAGATATTCAAACTGACCTACATTAGGAAAGTAATGACTCCCAGAGGGTATTTTTGAAAGGCTAGGTAATAAGTTGACTATTTGTTATCTAGAGAATACTGCAGGACAGCTGCTTTAGTTATTTCAAGAGCAGCCTTCTCCATCCTTCCAACAATGAACTCTTTATAATAAATTGATTCTAGATCAGTTCACAGACACAACCCCAGTCTAAAATCCATAACTAAGGTCATCATCAATAGTTACAGCTGACGTGGAAAATGGATATTACAAACATAAGTACTAGGTATGTAAAAAGTCGGTTAAATAGGTAACCATGTAACTGCTGAAAATCTCAGTGGTTAAACGCATACATGCACTGCAGGCGCTGCAGGATAAAGCTTAAATAAACTTTATACTGCAGAGCTTGCAGCAAAGCCTCACCAGGAGTGGGGCCATCAGCTCCTGCCAGCTTCACTTCTGGGGAAGATGTTTCCCTGGTGCAGAGAAGCTGCCTCCCTGTTAGTGGAGCCAGCAGGAGGCTTCCCTATTGCAGTGATGCCTCTTCTCCAGGAGCAGAGCAGGCAAGAGCTGCCTTGCCAGCCCAGCACCCAAGGAGGCTATGCAGCCGGCTTCCTAGGAACAGAGCTGGCAGCCCTTGTTGGCCCTATGCCTGGGCAAGCCAGCATGTAACCTGTGGTGGGGGGCCCACGCCAGGCCCGCCACAGACATCCGGCCTGCCAGAACAACTCCGGAAGCAGCCCCTGCCTGTGATGGACCTCATGGGACTAGAACAGCTCACTGCCTGAGGCAGATGGAGAGCTGCTCCAGCCCCTGCAG